GACTTATCTTTTGCAAAGAGTACAAATAGCATGTTTTGTAGGATTGCTTCTATAAAACTGTAGATCACTACAGACTACTGTTTAGTATTCCAAATATGCAAGATAGTTGACCATTAAAAGGATTTATTAGTTGATAATGCTATGGAATTATTATCCCAGTATAAAACTTGACTCTTGAAATTTTACAATATGACTGCTATAGTAATAGCTACATTTCAATGGATAAAATTTCATATCTATACTTCAAATTCATTCTATAATGGTGATAATTCAGCTTAAAACCTGGCTGTATATTAACCTTAGATTTCAGGATTTGGGCCAAAATATTTTGATGCCATTCTAATATTGATAAGTTTATTATCTATGTCTTTCACTATATGATTCCTGTTTCCCCACTATTATTTCCAGCACTTAGAACAATGTCAGTAAATATTCACTGAGTGAATGAATGAATGAATATATATGCAATACACACACACACACACACACACTCACAATTCTAGCTGAGTATAATATCTAAAAAGAGGGATGCTAAAGATTTTAGAGCCACACAGTCTTTTTCAGTTTCATTTTTACAAGCCTTCCTATGAATAATTATAATGAATACTTAATGTGTGTAAAACACTATATCAAGGACTATGAGTTACTGAGATAAGTTAGGAAAATTAAGAATATTCTTTTCCAGGAATGTAAGGTATGACAAAATCTTCCAAAATATAGAAGACACCTCAAAAATGAATAAAAAACACTTTGAACATTTTAGATTGTAAGAGCAAATAAGTCCTCAAATGTTAAACCAAAATGTTTATTGAGTAAATTTTGATAGAAGTAAAAAATCTAAAACATATCCTGGATAGTAAAGAATATATCTTAGGGAGATAAATTGTGATGATTGGGAAACATAGACATGTCAGTTTACTTGAGATTAACCCTATAGTTGATTGAAACATTTTTACTCAACAGTTACTTATTGAAAAGTCTCCTAATGTGAATTACATACTTGGATCTCACATTTTAGTGGAGGAATATTAGAAAATTTAAAACATAAATAAGTAAAATACACAGAATACTCAATGGAGATATAGGCCATGGAGAAAACAAAGAAGGCAACGAGGAGAAGAACTGTCAGAGACTATAACTTAAAACAAGATGGTGAGGGAAGGTAAATGCAAAGTTGACATCTGAGCATAGACTTGAAGGAGATAAGGAAGCTTTCTTGTAGGTATCATGGGGGATATCATTCCAAGTAGGAAACTTCAAGAATAAAGGCCCAGTAAGGGAGTGTTACAGATTTGCTCACTGAATAGCAAGGGGACCAGTAAAAAGGAACTGCAAATGAGATAAAAAAAACTAGGAGAGGAAATTAGAGGGGATGGGCCTTATTTTAAATAAGGATTTTGATACTCTGAATGAGATGACTAATTATGGGGATAGTTTCAGGAAAGGAATGGTATAATATGGCTTATAATTCAACCAGAACATTTGAGACTACTGACGTAAGAACCAATCAGTTGAATTTTGTGCAAGGTGAGAAACATGGGTTCAATTTCATTTTGCAACATATGGATTTCCAGTTTTCCCAGCACCATTTGTTGAAGAGGCTATCTTATCTCCAATGTATGCTTTTGGTGGCTTTGTCTAGTATGAGATAACTATTTATGTGGGTTTGTCTCTGTTTTCTATTCTGTACCATTGGTCTACATGTCTGTTTTGGTGCCAATACTATGCCATTTTTGTTAGTATAGCTCTGTAGAATAGTTTAAGGTCTGGTAATTGTGATGTCTCTTGCTTCACTTTTCTTGCTAAGGATTGCTTTGGCTATTCTGGATCTCTTATTTTTCCAAATGAATTTCATGATTGATTTTTCTATTTCTATGAAGAATGTCATTGGGATTTTAATAGGGATTGCATTAAATCTGTATAGAACTTTTGGTAGTATGGCCATTTTGACAATGTTAATTTTGTCCAAGAGCATGAGAGATCTTTTCATGTTTTAAGGGCTTTTTCAATTTCTTTTTCAGAGTTCTGTAATTTTCCTTGTAGAGGTCTTTCACCTCTTTTGTTAGATTGACTCCCAAATATTTTATTTTATTTTTTTTTGAGGCTATTGTGAGTAGGACAGTTTTCCTAATTTCTCTTTCAGTAGATTCATTGCTGATATATAGGAATGCAATTGAGTGGACTAGACAGAGGGGAGTGGGCATAGGGGTAGGAATGATAGTAAAATGCATCAGACATTATTACCCTATATGCATACATGATTACATGACCTGTGTAACTCTACATCATGTAAAACCAGTCAAATGAGAAGTTACACTCCATTTATGCATGATGTGTCAAAATGCATTCTACTGTCAGGTATAACTAATTAGAAATAATATAAAAAAATCCTAATGTGACTTCCTTCTTTAAAATACTACAATGGGTATCTTTTTCCTATAGGATCAAATATAATTTAATATAGCAGCATGACTTATCCTTTACTATTCTCTAGCCTAATCACTGAACACCCCCCCTCCTTCTTTACTCTGCTTTTTTGGTTTCTTGAAACCACAAGGCTTACTCTTGACTATGACTTTCCTTCTATCTGCCACATTCTTCCTTCTGTTCACCTGAGTTGTTCCTACAAAGTTCTCACCTGAAGCGTCACTTCCTTGAATCTCTTTAGGTTAAGCACTATGGCTCTTTGTTCCCAGAGTACTGACTTCCCTACTCTGTTGTTTATTCAATGCTACCTTTTCTGATAAGCTATAAGGATAGCTTCTTTGGGACAAGATATATATGTCTATCATGTTTACCCCTTGACATCATCAGTTTCATAGTGTTTGGCATCAGAAAAGCATTAATCACATTTATAAATTTTTTAGATGCCAAAGTGGATGAATGTGAGAAATATAAAAAATTTGAGGCAGAAAAATATATTTTCAGTAATCATTATATCTAACATTTCACATGGCCTAGCATATAGTGCCAGTTTATTTATTTATTTTTTTTTGCCTGAGTGAAGGAATGCCATTCTTGACCCTTGTTGGCCTTAGCTTATTTACATAAAATCTCTATAATAAACTAGCACTACATATAATATTTTCAGTTGCTTGTTCTCTTCATACTGGTGTTCTATGCCAAATTGCAAGGTTTTGAGGTCTTAAATTTTGCATGGACCTGGGCTCAAGCTGCTATGTATTTATTTATATTCAATGTGTTCATACACTTTTATAAGAAGCCACAGCTGCCAATTTCAAAGAACCTTGCAAATAGTATCTCTTATTCTCCCTGCCATACCACCATAACATGTACCCACCCTTTTCAACTAGGGAGCTACATTGTTCTCTAACCATCACAAGCTGCTCTGGATATTTTTCTGTGAAATAGAGAAGGCATAAGTGAAAACAATAGAATCAACAGGTCATTGAAAGATGGAATGAAAATCCCAAACAATAAAGGTCACTTTGGGGAGATGGACATTTTTCTACATTTACAAATGAAAACAAGTTTAGCCCAGAAAAACAAAATATCCCAAAGAGATGATGAAAGTGAGAAATATTACCTATTCCCTGATTGGAAAGATGGGTAAACTATGATAAAGCCTGAAACTTCTTGAAAATTTATTATTACAAGATTAAATGCCTATAAAGCTTTCAATAAAAATAAAGAGGAAAAGTGTTCAGATTTTGTGGCCAGTCTTCAATATACTTACTTTAAATAGTTGTGCCAATTACAATAATTCATGTAAAACTGCTTTAAAGGATATTAACTTCAGTATTAACAATATAAGACAACAAAATTGAGTGTACTTACATACATAGTATAATATGAGCCACTATTTTTAGCAAATAAAAGAAACACAAGTTCTTTATGAAAATAATCTAAAGCAAATAACACTGAGAAATATATGAATTTATCACAACCATGCCATTATAACATACAAAGAACTTCAGAGCATTCCGATATTTTTCTAAAATGACAGTATTTGTCCTTCCCTCTTCCCCTTCTCCATCCTTTTTTCCTTCCATTCTTCCAGCATTGATAGAGTATTTCCAGGTACATACTCAGCAGACAGAAAGAGGGAAAGGCACTGCATGATTCTTCTCTACCTGATAATTTTCATTTTCTACTCTATTACTTTTTCTCCAATAATCCTACAGCCTAGAGAACAGAAAGCAAACAAACATTTTGAATGCATCCTCATGTCTTCAAATGAGTCCTACTTGTAGGCTGGCAAACTGAATGAAAAGACTTGGAAAGATGAAAAAAGAGAAGAACAAGGAAAGACCCTCTGGAAGTTTTCTAAAGAGATAAGGAATCACCTACATTGAGTCTTCAATAGCAGGTCAACTTCTAATATAAACATGAACAAAGATGAGGAGTGTAACACTGAACAAATTTGTAGATGGGAGAGAAGGGTAGGAATTTTTAAGCACTCATACCCCACAGCTTGAATTTTCTCTAAAATCAAGTCTGTGACAAAATGGAATCTTAAGGAAAGTAGTAAAGTTTAAAACATTATAATGGAATATGGAAGCAATGCTCAGGGCCCATCTAATACATTTCACATCTAAACATTTCTCATCTCCCATGCCACTAGCAGAGATTAGCAGTCTGTATATGAACAGAGACTGCCCCAAGTTCAAAGATTTCCAGAAAGGATGAAGAGGGAAGAAAAGTGAGTTAGGACACTGGAAAGGTGGGAAGAGAATGGTTAAAGTTATATACCGTGCATTCCAGGATCAGGAAAGAGCGTGATGAAGTAGAATACTATCCATGAAGTGACTGAAAAGCCTAGTGCAAGAGTGAAATATGCTTGTTACCAAAGAATGATATGTTTATATCAGAGGATTCAAACCAGGCTCAATAGAAAGTAATAAAAATGGCAGAATATGAAAATATATGATAGTTTATATACAAAATCATGTCAGTCTCATAGTTATTAGCAAAAAGATTGTATAATACAATGGCCATACACTCATGCAATTATTAATTACTAAATAATTTAGTCTTACCTGTATTGCAAGGGCACGAGCTACAAGACCTCTAAGGTACTGTAAGGGATCTTCTGGGCCTTCCCACTTGTTCTGCCATATGAGGGGACACTGGAATTTAAAAGGGGCCAAAATTAACTTTATGTATATTACATATAAAAGACCTTCAACATTACTGTGATGGGGATAAAATCTGACATAATTCACATTATACATATCATGATTCCTTCTTATTAATATTTCTGTTTTCCTTGATTTCATTAAAATAGAATGACATAGAATAAGTTAATACATTTCCTTAAAAGGAGAATTCTTAAGGAAAATTTCTTCAAAAAATAAAATTCTTAAAATCATTTTCCTGAAGTGTGATAATAACAGAGAAAGCATCACCCCAAAATACTGTGATTATATAGTTGAGAAACTACTCCTATCTAGAATATATCAACAATGAAAATTATATAATAACCAGACTTAGAGTAGAAAGGGGCCTTAGAAAACATCTAGTCTCATTGGAGGAGTGAAATAAACCTTCTAAAATATATGGTAGATTAAGGTCACAATTATGCTTTGAATTTAAAATAGTTGTGATTATAAATCAAGAACCTAAATCCCTTAATGCCTGTATTGAGACTTGAGATTTAAGTTCCTCTCCTCGAATACTGGCCCAGTAACTAGTTGGAAGTGATGCTGTGCTAATTTCCAGGTCTAAGCTATAAGAAACTGTTGCTTATATTTCTTGTCTTTTGAAACTCAGTCATTTTTCATCTAAATGTTCTTGGACAGGCTCACATGTATAGCAATAAAGGCTCCCAGCTCTGAACCAGTGAAGACTTACCAGCCATATCAGTGACTGTGTGAACGAGACAAGTTTTCTCTCTAAAACCCTACCCAGATTTCAGATTTTTAAGCTAAAAATAAACATTTAAAATGAAATGGTTTTAAAATAAGATTTGGTAAATTTGTTCTGCAGTAAGACTTACCTGATAAATTTTGATACCTAAAAGTAGAATGCTACCTTAACAAAAACCTATGGCTTTACAACTGGGTGGTGGGTTGAACTGGAAGGACATTTAGAAGAGTATAAGTGAAAACAGAGAATGTTTGTGGAAACCCAAGGGACTTTGTAGACTTAAAAGGAGGAAGAATCTAAGATAAGAGTATCATAAAGACTACTAGGATACACTTTGCAGAGCCTCTGTTAAACAATAAGACTTCAATGAATCTTAAAGGTGCTGTTCCATAACTGTCACCTTGATCTAGGCCTTTCCAGCCTCGAGACTGAAAAATAAATTTTTGTTGTTTGAGCCTCCTGTTTCATGATTCTTTGGTACATAAGTACAAATTAAGACAGTATTTGTCTTTAAAATACAGACAATTCATAGCATCTTTAGCTTAGTATATGTATAAACCTGAACACATTAAAAATGCTTATAATGAAGATTAGCTTTGGAGAGAAAGATAAGTTTTATCATCAAACATTCAGAAAGTAAGATGATAATCTGTAAATTGTATTTCATGTAATGAAATCTAATAAAAATATATTGAATGTCTATATGTGTAATATATCAATGTCAATAATGAATCTCTAAGCTTTTACTTTCCTGGAGAGTTTAAAATTTTGTGGATTATTTCTATATTACATTCATTTAGGCCAATATCATTTGCCATTCTTTAATGTAGATATGAACATACGTAGACACATTGTGGTCACAATAATTTATATAAATTTATCAATCTTAATGAATGTGCATCAAGAGCAGTAGTAAATGGGCTGAAGGTTTACATTAAAATTTGATCTATAAACATTATAAAACTAACAATAATTTCCATAATTTACCACACTGTTAAATGAGTCATAACAATAAAACAAATTCAACACACTATGAATTTAATAGAATTTAGGTAATTGTGATTATTAATGCAAGGCATTTTGCTTCAACAGTAATTGTTCATCACAGCATATGTGAATACTAATATAAATCAGAACTTGAACAATTACTGAGCTAGTCTCAGTAATTTCTGGCATTAACACAACAAATCAATAAACTGTCTCAGGTGAAAAAAAAAAACTTGAGGTCAAATCCATTAGTTTGCTTTATCTTTGATAGTATTAGCCGGCTATTCATCGAAACACAAACTAGATACCAAGCATGTGCACTCATGTTTAAACATCTTGCTATGTGCATCCAAGCTACATAAAAAGTTGACAAACAATTCCCAATTATACATTCATTTGAATCTCTAGTATTTAGACTTGTGTAAACTTAAAATCCCAAACTGACAATATGTTCACCTCAAAAGTCTCCTGATTTCCTTTTTAATCCACCTGCACACACACTCTGAAACCTCTGCTATAAAGCAGACCCTAGCACAGAAAGATGTTAGCTCTTACTCCTCCTGAAATTATATAATAAAACTATGTATATGCATATTTTAAAACTGCATCCATTTCAATTTTTAAAGTGATCCAAAAAGTTAAAATCCAGTCGTTTTTTGTTTTTTTTTAAATTTAGGAGACACTAGAATTTTGCTCTACTATTGAAGGATCCCCTGGTTTAAAAAGATAAAAAGCCATGTAGTATTACCAACAAGTATGATTAGGAAAGTTGAAATGTGTAGCCAATATATATGTTGACTTTACTCGCCTTTTTGGTGAGAAGAGGGATACTGAAGAATGAACCCAGAGGCACTTTACCACTGAGCCACATCCTCAGGCTTTTTAAAAATTTTAAATTTTGAGTCAGAGTCTCATGAAGTTGCTTAGGGCCTCACTTAGTTGCTGAGGCTGACCTAAACTTGTGACCCTCCAGCCTCAGCCTCTGGAGTTGCACATATTGCTTTTAAAAAGAATTCAATTAATGTTGTAAGAACTGCAATACAACCTTTTAATATCTACAAATGGTAAGTTACCATTGCACTTACCTTAAAACCCATGTTCTACCATATAAAAGAAAACAGTATTTTACAATGTCTTCATTAATTATAAGTTATTGTTTCTTCATTTAAAAAATAGATTAGGCATAACCCCAGAAATTATCAAAGGAATAAAAGAATCATAATTCTTTCTAGAAAAATTCCTTTGTCAATCATGCCAGGTACATTAAAGAAAATGTCAATTAATGATCTATTTCCTAAATAACTTGAAATCATATCACATAATACAGAAGCTGTCACATTCAAATGTAACAAAAAATTAAATTTTTATTCTGAAATAGGTTAGTACTGAATTCTCAATTTCATTAAAACTCATTAGAAAGTAAACAAAGTATTTTACTCACCTTGTCTTTGTGAAAGTCAGTCTACTCTCATTTGAGTTTTAGTAAACATCTTAAACTATTTCTATAAATACTATTATGATACAGTTTAAATATCTTTGCAAAATGAACTTTTCATCATTTGAAAGGCTTTTAACAAATTCATTCTCACAAAAATGATAAAATTATATCAAAGGGAGTATTATGTTTGAAGGCTGTATTTATTCCTGTGTAATATAGAAGGTGATAAATGACATATTAAAATTATCCACATCTTATATAAACACATTTTAATTAGGAAATAAGCCATCTGATTCTATTGTTATTGCCTATTGCTAAGCCAAATTAGAAAATATTTAGAAGATCTTAATGGTTCAGGGAAAAGGGAAAAAATAAATAAAATTTTATGACCCCTTTGTAAAATATTTTGGTATTAAGAAAGGATTTTCATATAATTAAGCCCCTTTAGTTCTTTGTCTTTCAGAAGGATCTAATCTAAGCCATATTATATTTGATTCATAGAAAATGATTTAAAGTTATTATTTTCTTTCAGGTATTTATGCCAAAGTTTACCCAGATGTTAACAGTAGAAGTAAAATAAGAAACCAAAGTTGGCAATTACATTTTATATTATTTTATTATTTATATCACATAAAATCTCTTGAAATACCATGGTTCCAGGCTGTAACTATTTCTTACTGAAAGTGATGTACAAAGTATCCCAACTTCCATAAACTGAAATACTTCATGAGTTGTTCTGTTTATAATGAAATTCTCCAAATTAATAAAAACAACTATTTTAAAAGTGTGTTTGCTATGAGCCAAGTACTTTACCCATATTTAACTATCAAAAGAATCACATGAAGTAGGTACCATTATTATCCTTATTTTACAAGCGAGAAAAACAGTTTGGAGATGTTCACAGAACCGCCCTAAGGTTACATACCTACTAATTTGTAGACACATTCTGGAGGCCACATACTTAGCTATTTTGCTATACTGTATTATTTCTACATAAAATATCCATGAGAGAGAATAGAAGAGTGTTGAATGTCTTCTTAATGGTAGAGAGATGTAGGAAATTATAGATAGGCTACATTTTTATATTAAAATAGATAGGACATTTAGACAGACTACTACAAGTTTCCTTATATTGAGTATACACAGCAGAAAAGAAAAACTTTTGATTGCCCTACTGAAATCTTTTCTAGACTCCAAGTGCTGTAAAATTCATATTCTCCAAATGGCTAAAAATCAGTCTACAAACACCCTTCCAAATTTTTTGTCTCTTCAATTAATCTGAACTGCGTGATTTTTACTATCATTTAAAGGGAACTAATTATTTAGTAGAAGTGTTTATTTCTTCTGCTGCTGCTGAACATATCCTGATTTTTTACTGGATAGCTATATCTCACTTAATCTCAGTATATGTGTTACAGATGAAACCATCCCCACCTCCAGGAATAGGTATTTGTTGGTTGAACCCCTACACAAATGAAAGTTTTGCATGTCCTGCCCACAGAATTAGTATGGAAAAAGGAACAACATTCAAACTGGTTTGGATCAAAGTATATCCCAAGATTTTTGCTCGAGTTACCAAGAAAAAGATGTTCTCTCTGTTGGTAGTGTATCACAATATATAGAGAGGACTTGCTCCAAAGTGAAATTAACATAGATTTCATTACATATACAGAAGAGATAGATAGCATAAACTGAGATCCTTAATGACAATTTTAAGCTCCATCAAGCTGATTTAATGCTAACTACCACTAAGACTCTATCTGAGCCAATAAACTTCCACATGACTTCAACCATTTTGACTTCAGTTGTCTGTTATTAACCACAAGAATCCAACAAATAAAGACCTACTTAAATAATGAAATAAAAACATACAGTATTGGCTTACCTTTTGGTTTAATAAAGCACTTGCCAATTTTTGGACTTCTGAACTTAATAAGGTAGTTCCTCTGATGACTTTGCTGAGGGCAGCAAGAGACTGATGCACACTTTGTACTAAACGAATGGCATTATATTGTTCTAGAAGGATGAATGATAATATTGGAGATCCTTGCCGATCATTAGGAGGAGACACTTTCTGATGAATCAGATTTGAATTCTAAAAGAAAAATGTCATTTACTGAAAAGTAGCACAAACCACTGATATAGTAAAACATTTAAAAAGTTATTATAACCTTTTATTGTTCTGTTGTAAAACTGTTTTAAAATACTGTTGCTTTATGAATGGGCAAATTTATTAAGACTACAAAAAGGAATTTTGGAGTTTACCAACATTTAAAGTGGCATATGGGGTGAGAATGGTAAAAGGGAAACCACAATGAGAAGCAGGAGTCAGTAACAATAGGAAGATAGTAGAAGAAACAGGACCCTATAAGCCAACATGCAGAGCAGGAAAGTTACACTCCATCACCCAAAAGAGAACAGAAAAAGAATCATGGTTTAAATACAAAATGCAAACAGATGTTTTAATCTGAATGCTACTTATACATGCAGCAGAAAACTACACTAAACATCTTGTGGTCAAGACCAGTCAGTATAGTATCTTCATGTTTCTTTTTTATATCTGTACTTTAACAGAGGGAAATGTGTGATGTGGTATATTGAAATTTGGGAGTTTCTCAAAAAATTTTTTGACATTTTTAAAATTTGTACTTTTAGATATATGACAGTATATTTTGACATGTTAATCATAATGGAGTATAACTTATTCTAATTAGCATCCCATTCTTGTGGTAAGTTTCTCAGATTTTTAAGAAAAACTCAAGGCTATTTTAAAATAGCTTAAATGATTCTATGATTATTTTTAAAATTAAAAAAACCTTTCAGTAGCTTTCTTTTTAAAATATTTTTTAAATTGTCAATGAAGATCTATTTTATTTATTGATATGTGGTGCTGAGAATCAAACCCAGAGCCTCACACGTGCTATGCAAGTGGTCTGCCACTGAGCCACAATCCCAGCCCCCTTTCATAGTTTTCTTAAAGTGTAAGAGATAACTGTGAAGTCCTGTTCTCTAACCTGATGTTATCCTAGTTTTCTCTATATAGTCTTACAATCCTAGTCAAAATCCTTTCTCTTTGTTTAACTGGTTGCCATATCCACATGGTCTGCAATAGCACTGTCCCTATTTTATCCATTTAGCATAATAAATAATTTACTAATGTAATAGTGATTATTGTCATTAAATAAATTGTATTAGCATAAAATCAGACCTGAAATCAAATTTAGGATATGGGCTTAAATGTGCTATTTTTATTTCAATTACTCTATAAAAATATTAATATTATTGAAATTTTGATTTCACACACATAGTGTACATACATGTATATAAATAACTACAAAGTCGACTGAGTTCAAAGGGAAAAAAGTATCATATTATCAAAAATTGAATAGAATTAACTTTGGATGACAGCATTAAATAAATAATACTTACACATTTCCAACCTTAATCAACTAGAACAAAATTTGGGCTATAGACCTTCTGGAATTCTTAACATTAAGAGACTTCCTAGAAATGTATGATATTTGGTCTTTAAACATTCATCAATATTAGCAAGCAAATGAGCAAATTATTTAGAGTTTGGATTTTATTGCTATTCTATTAGGTTTGATAATGACAAACATGCATCATTTAAATCAAGAATATCCAAACTTACAACATTCAAGTTAGATTCCATTTATCTATCATCCAAGCAAATAGAAAGCATGATGTACTAAACTTTTTAAAATTTTGATTTAAAAGAGTAACTATCAATAATTACTAAAATTCAACTTGCCAAGTAAATGTAAAATGTACATGGGATATCAAAAACAAAAAAAATATGTAAAATATTGCATACTTTTTATATGAATGTTGCAATACTAATATTTTGGATATATCATGTGAAATAAAATATATTAATCAAATCAATATCATCTGTTTCTACATTTTAAGTGTGGGTCCTAGAAAATTTAAAATTGCATACTAAGGAAAGAAGATGGCAATTAGAGAAAGGGTGCAAATCCCAGTAGCTCCTCAGCACCAGACTTATAAAACGGGAAGATGGCTTCTCAGTCAGGTGGGTAACTAGGGGAACTCACTGAAAATTAATAGCGAACTGTATTAAAACAAAACCCCCAAAATTATAGAGATAAGTCAGAAACTTGAATATAAGAAATAATACATCAGAGAAGCACCAGCAGAGTGGAAAGGGGGGAGGGGGAGTTGAGCAGTGCACATAAAGGAGATGATGTGACAAAGAAATGAAAAAATAAAGAATTGACTTGGGGTAACCTGTGGATTAGTGAGGAAGGCTGATTTTAATAGTCAGTAGAGGAAGCAAATCAGTGAAAGCAAATCCAAGAATAACTCCCTGGGAGGGAAAGCCTTCTAGGCTTGAAAAATGGCCAGTGCTTACTTGGGAAGGCTGGGTTGGGTGCTCCCCATCACTGGGGAAAGTTTCTGCTTGCCCTATGGGAAAAAGTATCCACTAGCTGCACTTGCAATACCAGAGAAAGGAGCCCCCAGTGCACTCCCTATAAAACTGTCCTCCCCCCTCCTACCAATGGGAGACAGGAGATCAGGAACCCCAGCAACTAACCAAAAAAACTTCTAGGAAGGCATGTGAACCAGAGAGATTAAAATAGGCACAAAGAAAATTTTGCATGGACCATTCAGGCTCTGAATCCCAAGAGAAAAAGGTCCCATTGTTGGTGAGAAAGCTACCATTGTTGCTGGTGCTAGAGCAGCTATACAGGAACATCTGTGATCCAAGGCCAATACTTGGTATTTCATATTCATAGCAGAGAAGCTGAAACTTGTAAAAGTTTTGTTCCTATGCCTAACATTGGATTTTACCAGAGACCCTAGAGATCAGACATCCTGCAGAGGCTGGCATCTCCCCTGCAATAGTGCGTGTGGATGGACTCTTTAACAGTCACCCAGAGTTCCAAAGTTTGGTCTAGATTAAACCCCAATTACTGGAATTTCCATTTTAGAACTCTGCAACACCTGCACCTCAGTAATACACAATTTAGCAGTACCTAAACTGTGCTAGCCTACCGTGCATGAGGGGACTGGAAGCTGAGATACTGCGACCAGGTATGTCTGCTAGCCACAAAACCTGGCAGCTAAGCAAGAACAACAAAGGCATTGGACCTCTGGGTTACAAAGCCAAAAACAAATACAAAGAATGAAAATCCATCTTTGCCAATAGTTTTGACCACCTCTTCATACCCTATTATTTAATCTATTTATTTTGGTACATTTAAACTTTTTTTTTTAATAGCCAAGGCAATTCTTAACAAGAAAAGTGATGCAGGAGACATCACAATACCTGATCTCAAATTACACTACAGAGCTATAGTTGCAAAAACAGTATGGTATTTCCAACAAAATAGACATGAAGAACAAAGGAATAGAATAAGACACAGACAAACCCACATACTTATAACCATCTAATACTTGACAAGGATGCCAAAAATATATGTTAGAGAAAATATATCCAGTTTTCCTACCCCTATTAGTTAAAAAGGCTATATGTAGTAGAATGAAGTTCGATTCCTATCTTTCACACTATACAAAAATCAAATCGAATGGGTTAAAGAATCAGAAATTAGACCAGAAACTTTGCAACTGGTAGAAGAAAACAGTGTCAATATTCCATCATAAAGGTGCAAGTACCAACTTTCTCGACAAGAATCAATAAGTGAAATGCCATAAAATTAAAAAGTTTCTGTACAACAAAGGATAACAAAGGAAATGATTAAGAGCATGAAGCCTACAAAATGAGAGAAAATCTAAAATCAATATATTATAGTAATACAGCTGCTACACTGTTTATAGCAGTTCAATTCACAATAGCTAAATTATGGAATCAACCCATATGCCCATCAATAGATGAATGAATCCAGAAAATGGTATATATACATAATGGAGATTTCCTCAGTCATAAAGAAGAATTAAATAATGGCATTTGCTGGCAAGCTGATGGGAATGGATAAAAATCATGCTAACAAAAAAAGCCAGACTCAGAAAAATAAAGGGTTAAGTGTTTTCTTTCATGTGTAGAAGCTAGAGCAAAATAAGGGAAAGAAGAAGGTGGAGAAATGGAAAAAAACATCATAAGGATCAAGGGAAGATCAATGGAGAAGGTGAACAAGAGGGAGGAAAGAAGGGAAAGAAATACGGAAGCAATCTAACAAAATCATGATATATACATGAATAAATGTACCAAAGGGAATTTCACCTTTATATATATGTAGACAGTATCAATCAAAAGTAAATGAAGAAGTGAAAGGAAGATCAGTGGAGGAAGGAGAAATTGAGAGGGAGGAGGAGAGGAAAAGGCAGGAATGGGGATTGAATCAAATTCCTTGTAGGTATAAATGTTGTCAAAAGAAACCCAAATATATATAAATATAATGCTTTAATTAAAAATTGCATATATAGCTCTCATTTGTGCTACATATTATGCTTCTACTGAACAGTATCCATCTAGAGGTTATCAAATAAAATGCTGTAAGTCTAGCAATAATAATAAGAAAAAGAACATATAGTAGAGTCTAAATAATTATTCATTAGTGAAAGATTAAAAAACTAGAGAAAAATAAATGGTAAAGAAAACTGCAATAAATTAGAGAGTGGGAAAAGTATAGCAGAAAACAGCAAAGTATATTGTGATATGCACTATAACATAATCCATTTCCCACAAGACTTCACAAAACTTTAAAAAAATTAATGTAAAATAATTCAAATTCTAAAAATATAGATAATCCATACATTCTCAAAGGATGAAGAATATTCATGACATGTTGGATTATTACATAGTCTTAAAAATAAATTCAAATCAAGTAATATTTACAATTCAAATATAGCTACAATTACCAAATGAGCACCACAGTTTGTGACACCTGTGCAAGTGTCTTGTAGCAAGCAAGGATATTCTCATACCTCTTCATCTGTGTAAGCAATAAAACCCCCTATTTTGCCTCAGCCACTTTGACCTGGGTTTCCCAATCACTTGCAATACCAACAGTCCTAATTAGTAATCAGTCCAAAGAAAGGAAAAAAAGAATAAACACAAAATGTGTGTTAATATAAACTAATCCAAATTTATAT